AGTACTTGTACATCAAACCCTTTTACTAATCAGGATGAGTAACTATTGTGCTCCAATATCTTGAACAATTTTTGTTGACAGTATTTGAAAGCTTATAAAGAAACATCAACTTATATCCTGCAGATTTCTCAAATGCTAAAGCATTCCAAGAGCCAGATATTTGGTGAAAAACAAAATTTAAACCTTAACCAACAAAATGACTATCAAATGTGAGATATCATGGCTGCATCTATTTCCCCCTCCTGTCCATGCACTGTATCTCCTGCTTGTTGCATCCCCCTTGTTTTTCACTCATGAGATTGTAGTTTTCTGGATATTTATTGTTTTGTAAATTTCCAATTTGAGCATTAAATATGCGCAATTCCCCATTTTCCTTGGTCTAAAGATCCAATATTAGTAAAATGTGAAACTGGTCATTCATAACTGGCTAAATAAGATCTGTTTATAGTTTGAAGAAGCACTAGCTGTGCTAAATTTGAAGGCTGGATGTTACTTGACATATTGTGTTGGTTTTTCGGATGTATCCAACTTTTACATAGGGATATCATTATATTAAAGCAAAAAACTTCACTATCAGCTGCCAGCTTGATTAATTCAGTACTAGAAATACATTAAATTTCTACAATCGCATAGGCCTTGGACCCTTGTCAAATTACACACCTCTGAACTACTCATCATGTGCACTTGTTGTTTAGGTTCATGCCTCTGAATTATTAAGAGCCAGGGCTTGGGGTCATTTGGTGATTCCCTTGTGTGAAGCAGGCAAATATTGCTCTTTATTTATAGTTTCAATTTTGTTTCTTCCTCTGCTTTCTGATCAATGGCTCCTGTAATTTATATGGTAAATTTACCTGGAAACTTTGGGTTTTTAGCAAATATGCAGGATCCATTTGCTGCAAATTCAAATTTATATACTATTTCTTTATTGTTTGTGCACACAAACGAGCATATTGCCGTAGGAGTGTAGTCATCATTTACAGCGCTCTAATCATTATGGCAATATGCAGAGGATGAGGAGAGAGAGCAACTTGCAAAGGAGGTCGCTAAGGATTGGAGCACTGGTAAACTTCGTTGATTTACGATCTATAGCTTGTTTCTTTTTTTCTTTTTATTTTCTGTTGCTGTGAATTTTTCTAAATTGAGGTGTATGCATATTAATTTTATAGTGTTTTCCTGCAGTTTTTGAGCGAAGTATAAACACCCTTTTCCTCACTGAAATGGTTCGAGGTCTGAGTCTGACACTGAAATATTTTTTCGAGAGGAAAGTTACAGTAAGTTTTATCCTATACTCTCTTGATACTACTCTTATTTTGCCAGGTTTTTTTAATCTATCTGTGCTTTCACAGATAAATTACCCCTTTGAGAAAGGCCCTCTAAGTCCTAGGTTCCGTGGGGAACATGCATTACGGCGTTATCCAACTGGTGAGGAGCGCTGCATTGCTTGCAAGCTATGTGAAGCGGTAGGATTTATATATATTTATGCACAGGATTACCTTGAGATATAGTTAGCATTTTCTGGTTTTATAACACAGTATAAGATGCTTGATAAATCGACCACCAATATTTCTTCACATACGACAAAGAAGAAAAAACTTTTGTTCTCATCAATGAATATTTTTTCCAACGTTAAGATATGCCCAGCACAAGCAATCACGATTGAAGCAGAAGAGCGAGAAGATGGCAGTCGTCGAACTACAAGGTACATCCGTTTCTGATACCTTTATATCGATCTAGATTCTATAGTTTGTACTGTCTGTTGAGCTATTGTTGAATGCACAGGTATGACATTGATATGACCAAGTGCATCTATTGCGGGTTCTGCCAGGAGGCATGCCCTGTAGATGCCATTGTTGAGGGTCCAAACTTCGAATTTGCCACAGAAACCCATGAGGTAATAAAAGTAATCCGTTATTATGCTCTTAATTTACCTGAACCAGTGGGCATGTTTGTTTCACTAAAATATTCCGGAGGCCATATGGAAAACCTCTGACATTGTCAGTTTTGGAATTCTCTGTTGAAACTTTCCTATTTTTGTGTTTGTTTCACAAAGCAATGACAGCAAAACTTTCCTATTCTTGAGTTTTGGGCAGAAAACAATTTTACTGTAGAAGATCGGGATTAGGGTTGGAAACGGTGGACATGTGAAATTTGTTAATTAAATATTAGGGTATTGAGGGTGGGTTTCGTTTCCTATTTTTTGTGATTGAAACAAACAATAGATTACAATTCCACTCAAATTCCACCCTTTATTTCATACCAAAACAAACACGGGAAAGCATCTCGAGGAAATGCATGGAAAACTATGGAAATTTATATCCTTTTACTATGTTTTTAGGAAATGAAACAAACAGACCCGTAACTGTTCCATCATTTGCAGGAGTTGCTGTATGACAAGGAGAAACTGCTCGAAAATGGCGACAGATGGGAGACCGAGATCGCAGAGAACCTCAGATCTGAAAGCCTGTATCGTTAATCTTTTATCCATCAGTATTGAGGATTGAGCTACATTTGCTTTGTTTTGTCTAGCCCAAGACCCAATCTCCAAATAAGGCAACCCTGCTTACAGTGCATATTTCTTTGTTCTTGTTCAAGGTTCATGTGCCTGATACATTTTCTGTAACAAAATTATCTATTTCCTTTCTATTTCTAGAAACAAAGACATAGGTTTTCCAATTCCTGTTGTTGTTGTTGGCAATTCTTGTGATTTAAGCGATCGTTAATGTTTTCCGTTCTCTAATTCTCCTGGAGGAGATCGGGTTGTGCTTATGCTGTCTTCCAACAATTGTTAGATGTTGAGGTGAGATTTTTGGTATTTATGAGGCGTGGCAGTATAATTTTTAGTTCCAAACTTATGGAGGTGAAGGGGAGGTGTTAGGGTTTTCCCGTTTGCAGTTCAGTTTAGTCGTAACCACGACTTGCTTTTGCTGCGCTTTAGTTTGCACAGTCGCCGGCCGGGACCTATTTACATCTGTTAATATCAGTTGCAGTGAAACAAAATACAAGTAACTAAAGTAATCCAAAGACGTGCAACTGTAATTTTAAGTCTTTCAATTTTAAGTCTTTCACTTGGTATGTTGTCAATCGACGCCTACAATAGGGACTAGGGCTGCATTCGGCCCGGATATGACTCGGACATGACACATATCACATCCCTATCCGTTTATCCATTTCGGGTATGGATACAGATATATCTCGGTAAGGAAAATTTATACCTATATCTGCTAAAATCGGATGCAGATACGGACATACGTGCGGATATATAAGCGGATATTGATGTAGATACAAAATGAATATGGGAAAACTAGAAGTATGGATAAAAAAAATAATTAATGTGATACAAAAGAGTTCATTAATATGTTCATTATATCTGAAAAGCTAAGATTAGACATCTTGATCATCAAAATTGACTTCAAATTCATAATCTACAGAGTAAACCTATGGTAACAATATGACTAATATGTTTTCGGATATTTTGGATACAGACCAGGATATTTCACTACAAAACCATATCCGTGACTTGTCAGTTATAGATTTGAGTAACCTAATTGTATCCTAACGGATACGGTTACGAATATTTCCTCGGATACTGATTTGGTTTAGCACCCCTAATAGGAACCCAAACAAATCCTTTGTTGAACGCGAATCCTGTACACACCATCTCTAAGAGCATCTCCAACCGAGCGTTAAATCACCAAGATGACGCAAACCTTACACTAAATCCCCCTCCAATCGAGCGCTAAATCCAGCGTTATTTTGATGAGGTGCTACAGTAGTGCACCAGATTTGGTGCAGCACTGTAGCTTTGGCGCATCAATTTTTTGGTTTTTTTTTGCTTTTTATTTTTAAAAAAACCCCCAATGTCCCGGACGAGCTCTTCTCCATCCTTCACCAGGCAAGCTTTGGCGCATCAATTTTTTGGTTTTTTTTTGCTTTTTATTTTTAAAAAAACCCCCAATGTCCCGGACGAGCTCTTCTCCATCCTTCAACAGGCAAGAAAGAATCGGTGTTGCTTCAAGCCTACGAGCAGAGGAAGGAGGCTCAGCATGTTGTGGATTTGGTCTTGAGGTTTCTTGGGTTTGAGAAAAGGAAGGTTGAAGAGGAGGAGAAGAAATTGGGGGATTTGGGTTTGAGAATTATTTTTATATTTGTATTTTATTCATAAAATATATTATTATAATTAATTATATGTAATGTATTATATAAATATATAATATATAATTTGTTAAATATTTAAAATAGGTAAAAAATTTAGAAGATAAGAATCATAAAAGAAATATTATTTTTTGGTGTAAAATTTGGTGTAATGGGTTAGAGATGGAATAGTGATTTGGTGTAAAAACTACACCATTTTGGGTTTTGTGGTTGGAGATGCTCTAAAGGGGTAGGGGTTTTGTACATATTCAGAATCGTTAAATTTTCTAAACTAATTCTTTATTCATGTGTGAACTGTATGGGGAACAGAACCTAAACCTTTTGTCCTCTACATCCCCTTTATGCACATTACCCCCAATCCAAACAACAAGTCATAAGGCTCAGAAAACATTAGAGAAGGCATGACACATAAATTTACCTCATTTTTTAACGACGCCACATACAGGAATGTTACCTTATTGGCTTGTTTCATAACAAATGCTGACAAAAAGTCACCTACTTCACTATGCAACCTCTACTTTCGATCGAGATGCTATCCTTTGCATCCTCAACACTTGAATTCATGTTCTTTCTTTCTCTACTTTTCCCCCATAGAACACAGTAAAGGCCTACAACCATGAAAGCTCCACCTAGAACACTGCGTATATATGTTCAACATCACAAACCAAAACACAATATTGATCAAACTTACAAATATAAAGAAAATAGAATTTTTTTTTTTTTTTGGTGATTACCTTCCAAGGTTTATGACTTCTCCTAAGAGGAAGGAGGAGGCCGCAGCGGCGATCAAAAGCGCCAAGGGGGAGAACATCGCCACGAAAACAGGGCCTCTTTTGTGAATGCACCAAGTTTGCAAGTATAACACAAGTGCCGACACCAACACACCCTGCAATATTGTCAAATTTGAGCTCATTGCAGTCATGATCGTTGATGCAAGTAATTAAATGACTATATATATATATATTGATTAAACTGACAAAACTTGAAGATTATGGTGAAGTCTAGATGATGGTTTGGGTGTTATGTGACATTTTTAAAAGTCTCTGTGTCTTTTCGAAATGGGCTAAAGTTTCGGGGATTATGTGAGATTTACCTGACAAAGTTATATGTATTCGTAATAATCACAACTACACTTGCACTTCGGGGGAAAAAAAGAAAAGGGGAGGAAATGGGACAGTTTTACAAAACCCTCTGTGATTTTTTGGGGGTTTCCCACAAAGTTCTCCTGGGTTTTTCCCCCTCCAAACCCCTTGAAATTTGACGGATCTTGCAAACCTACTAAACTTTCAATGTTCCCTACAGACCCCCTAACTGTGGTAATGTCGTCATCGGCCATTATTTGATTGTGTAGGAATAATTGATTCTTGACCACGTGGGAAATTTTTAAAAGTTTAGGGGAGTTTTGTGAGATAACCCAAACTTCATGGGCCCAGGTGGGGAAAAAGAGTTCACGCAGGTTTCTCAGGAAGCCTCAAAAATTCAGGGGGTTCTGTGAAATTCACACTTGCATCAAATTTCGTAGTCGTACTTAAGAGATGCATGCATATTTCACATCATAATCAATCTTGAAGGGAAAATAAATAGGTATGCGCTTGAAATCATTTACACCGTATACTACTCCAAGAAGTTCTTCATCCCAGTGTAGCTTCCACTTGTTCAAATTCCTCTCGGTTGTAATGGCAACAATAAAGCATTGAATTGTACTGAAGAGGTTCAAAAGAACAGTGGACCAAATCCATGATGGATATTCCTTCAATATTATTCCCTGTAAACAGAAATATAATCCATTCGGTATCTTAATAAGTCAAGGGAAAAATTGCGGATAGACACCCGATACTATCGCTAAATTACGAATAGTCTCCTTGTAGTTCCATTGTTGCAGTTAGACCAGTGTGCGAATTTTCTTCTACTCTTTTCCCTAAGATCTGGAGAAAACTAGTTTTCGATGACTAGACCTTCTGAGAGTAAAAGAGTCAAAAAAATTCACTCGGCGGATCTGTCTGTAACGATACAACCACATGAGGTATATCTCCAGTTAGGCAAAAGCAATGGGGTCTATTAGTAATTAATTAACCCTAAGTTAAGATCGGAGGTTGAACAATTTTATATACCAATAACACTAGCCATGAAGACCAACAAAATGCAGCCAACACCATGAGAAAAGTACCAATTATCCATTTTTTGTGAGTAATTTTAGAATCATTCTGACTACTTCCATGGAGAATTGGATGATGATGGATGAATGAGTTCAAATGAGGGCCCTTGTAAAATGCAATAACCATAGCTCCCGTTAAACAAATTACTACTCCAATTGCCTTTACAATTCCTGAGCAAGTCTTAAACGTGATAATTTCCACCCTGTAATATCCATCAAAGCGATAAATTATTTCTCTGTTTGAACATTAAATTTGAAATTTGATAAAAATCTAGAGAACTAAAAACCAATCCTAACCCTCCAATCTATCTAATCCAATGACCTACATTTCGATGACAGAATTGTAAATATAGACAAATTTAATATATATATATATATATATGTTCTAATAAAAATCTAGAGAACTAAAAACCAATCCTAACCCTCCAATCTATCTAATCCAATGACCTACATTTCGATGACAGAATTGTAAATATAGACAAATTTAATACACATCATTAATGTGAAAAGGATAAAATTGGAACAATCCACTACATTAATGGTGGCTGTCAACATTGGAAGCTGGAGATAATGATTAAAACCAAAAATACAACACGTCCTTTAATACTCTCTCTTACTATCAACGTGCTACGTCCTTTCACTTCCCCATTTCTCTCTCTAACTCACTTCCCGTTCTCTGTAACTCACTTCCATCTTCTATCAAGCTTTGATCTTCCATCTTCGCATGAAGAACACAGCAACAATTCATTAAAAATCATCCTAACCATCCAAGCTTTCACTGGAGTGAATCTGGATTCACTCCAGTGAATCTGGATTCACTCCATTGAATCTGGATTATATTGAAGCTCGATTCATTGGAGTGAATCCAGATTCACTGAATTGAATCCAGATTCAGTGAACTAAAACTCGTTATCAAACAATAGCAAATCTGCAAAAATAAAAATAAAAAAGAATAAAAAACTTATGGTAAAAAACAAGCTATAAAATTTTAAACCATGATACGATTTCACATTTTACAGCAAAAAGTTATGATTTTTATGGTAAAAAACAAACACCTCACATAACTGAATCTGGATTCACTGCAGTGAATCTAGATTCACTCATACGTTTATTTCTTCGAAATTACGGCACATGCATTTATTTCTTCAACAATTCATTAAAAACCATCCTAACCATCCAAGCTTTCGCTGGAGTGAATCTGGATTCACTCCAGTGAATCTGGATTCACTCCAGTGAATCTGGATTCACTCCAGTGAATCTGGATTATATTGAAGAATAAGAAACTTATGGTAAAAAACAAGCTATAAAATTTTAAACAAAAAGAATAAGAAACTTATGGTAAAAAATAAGCTATAAAATTTTAAACCATGACAAGATTTTACCTTTTACAGCAAAAAAATATGATTTTTATGGTAAAAAACAAACACCTCACATACTGAATCTGGATTCACTGCTGTGAATCGAGATTCACTGCAGTGAATCTAGATTCACTCATGCGTGTCTTCGTTTTTCAACTGGTTTCTTCAAAAAACAAAAAACTTTTCAGACTAAAAGGTGAAATATTTCACCTTTTACAACAAAAAGCTACAATCTTTAAGGTTAAAACTAAAACTTTTAGACGAAAAATCAAACAAATTTTATAAACTTACCATTAAAGCGTCAAAATAATTTAACAGCCCACTGAATCATGAAGACGAAGGTTGAAGAAGACCGTGAAGACGAAGCGTCAAAATAATTTCATAAACCATGAAGACGAAGGTTGAAGAAGAGAGAGTTGCTGTGATTTTGGAGAGAGAGAGAGTTGCATGGGGAAATGGAGAACTCAACAGAGAAGCATTAATTACCTCTCTTTAGTGGGCTGTTTATTTTACCTAATTACATACAATATTTCAACCCAGGTGAAAACATGTGTCAACTTAAGTGGATAGAAAATAGTTGTCCACCAAACTTTTTATCCATGGATCTTGCCTAGGGATCCTTGCATGATATGAAGAGACTTTTTATATTAATAAATGAGTGGCTAAAAAATTTGATGGACAACTATTCCCTATCCACTTAAGTTGAGAGTCTTGCTCATATATATATATATAATGTTATTTCCGGGAAACAACCATATTTAGGATCATTTTATGCAAACCATCTTATATTCCAATTTATACCTAAATCACATAAAAGTTAGTTTTCATTCTAATTAACCACCTGAGCCCACTATGTTGTTTAAATTTCTCTGAACTTTCAACAGTGCCCTCACCTATTCTCACGTGCAATGCACGTAACCCCCTCTTAATCAGATCCTTAATCATATCAATATCTAAAAGGTAAGGGCATTGTCGGGATTTTCTATGAAATTCTAGGGTCGATGTGGGTCAATTGATTGATTGGAAAGAAAACTTTGTTGATGGTTTAGGGGCTGTTTGTTTGCTAAAAAAAAGGGAAATCAAAGAAAATAAAACCTATTTCTAAGAAAAATAGGTTTTGGGATTGTTTGGTTGGATAAAAAAAGAAGGAAATCAAAGAAATGGAGATGAGATGAGATGAGTTGTCACCTTATTATAGGATGATGTGAGTGAGTTTTTAAGAAAACTTGTTTTGATGTTGTTTGGTTGGCGGAAAAAATTAAAAAATGAATTATAAGAAACCTATTTCTTGTATTAGGTTGTTTTTTTGTTTGGTTATTTCTTAAAAATAAGAAAATAGATGAGATGAGATGAGTTGTCATGATATTATTGGATGATATGATCCACACTTAAGGAAATTGTTTTCCTAGCTTTTTGGGAGGAAAACAAAGAAATAAAATGTTAATAAGATGAGATGAGTTGTCACAATCTTATTGGATGATGTGTGTGATTTTTAAATATGAGATGAGATGAATTGAGTGATGTTGTGGATGAAAATAATATTTTATTAGATGTGGTGGATGTGATGGATGAGTTGTTGGATGAAAATAATATTTTATTAGATATGATGGATGAGTTATTGGATAAAAATAATATTTTATTAGATATTGTGGGTGAGTTTTAGGGATGGAAATGTGTGAAATTGTATTTTTTGAGATTTCTTGGTTTTCATTTCTATTTTTTGGTTTTTTAGGAAATAACCAAACAGGCACATAAAAGGTGGTTTGCCATAAAATTACCCTAAACATAAAAGTGGTTTTTAGAAATAACCCTACTTTTCCCTTCCTATAAAAATTTATAATTATTTTCACCAACAAAATTTTTTGGGAAAAATGTGTACAGGCCCCAAAAGCAGAAACTTCATGTGACGAGACCCCTCATAGTTTCCACCATGTGGATCAGCCTATTGAAGTGTGACACTTTGTACTGCAACCCCTTTTTATCAATTATTACATGCCAACTATGCTAAAATCCCCAAATTATCCTTATCCTCTCTCCTCAATCCCTCAGACCCATCATTCATACTCAATTTAGCGAATGGATATTCCTTCATAGAAGCATGTGTCTAATTTTTACGGAATATGGGTTTAAATTTTCCTTACAAAGGCCATGCATCTATATCTATTGGTAAATGAAATTCATTTGTCTCAAGCGGTTTGCATCCCTAATGAGTTAGATAATTTGAATCATAGCAGTCAGGTAAGTAAGCATACACATTAAGCGCCTGCTAGCTCAGTGGATAGAGCGTCTGTTTCCTAAGCAGAAGTCGTAGGTTCGACCCCTACCTGGCGCGTTATAATTTGAAAGGAATTCCTCAGCCTATGCTTTTCCTTGAGGCAAAAAATATACCCGACCATTTTCTTTATTTTTGTGAAAAATCTTTGCCCCATATGTCAACCTTTTACCTGCTATATATCAAGTGAATATTTGGCAATAAAGCCCCCTATTTAAATTTCTTCGCTTTCTTTCACTATCTCTTCAAAACATATCCAAAAATCCGCAATTCCTAATCTCTATCCCATCACTAAATGAGCAACAAAGTAAACTGACCGTAATTAAGTTGAAAATGGAAAAGTTCCTCAGCTAATGCTTTTCCCTTGAGCAAAAATTACCCACCATTTCTATTTTTGTGAAAATATCTTTTGCCCCATATTGTCAACACTTTACCTCTATATAAGCAAGTGAATATTATTGCAAATAAAGCCCCAATTTAGTCTCGTTTTCTTTTCACGTTATCCTTCAAACATAATCCAAAACCCCATTCCTAATTCCATATCCATCACTAAATGCGCAAAAAGTAAACATTGATAAATATGGCAATAAAGTAATAGGCGAAGCATAAAATCGAATTCTAAGAAGCTGAATCTTGCTCCTTGTAGACTTCTTTTCGCATCAATATTGGATCTATAACAATTTTCTCTTACTTCAGATGCAATCATATTGGAGATTAATTCCATATTATCACTAAGCATGCAATAAGCTTTAACAACTTACACTCAAGTTATATAGGCAATCATGATTTCATCAAACAAAAGTTATATTATAAGTAACACTACTTGATTAAATTGAAATATTTAAGGTTTGTTTCAACTTGTAACACAAACTTATGTCAAATACTATTCTCAAATGTATGTTAGTTTATACGCTATTTTGAAATGTGTTGTTAAGCTTATAATTAGAAGTAATAAAAAAACATGATTGATTATATCCTTTATAAACTATAACATACATATCAATCTATATTCTGGAAGAGAAGGTGAGGATGTGTTACTTTGACTATTAAGTTTTTGTGTGACCAAATTCAACCATTCATAGTGAGAGAATCGTGGGAAAGTGAGGTGACTGTGAGAGATATATCTCTCAAATGGGCAGGTTATTTGAGGTGGTGGAGATGATGGGTTTTAGCCTCTATAAAAAGGCTGGAGTGTTCTCTTTGAGAAAATACAACACATAAACAAAAACCTCTATCCTATTACGGGAGCCCCACTCAAAAACACCATCATTCGTTTCCCTGCTTTTCTCTGTTTCGTACACGGTATCAGAGCCAGTTAAAACCTAGTCCCTTCTTTTTTTACCTGTAAGGGAAGTCTTGACTGCATTCTCCTTTGTTGGCGAAGCTCTTTTATATATATATATATATATATATATATATATATATATATTATATATATATATATAATATATATATATATATATATATATATATATTTATATTATATATATATTATATATATATATATATATATATATATATATATATATATATATAATAATATATATATATATATATATATATATATATAGTATATTTTCCTAAGGTGACACGTAGATCTATACACTAAGAACGCGCG